TATGGGCACGCTCAGGTGAGAACGATCGTCGAAGAGAGAAATAAGAATCACTCACAGCCGTCTACGTGCTCAGATTAACGAATTAGATGTAATTAAAAAAAAAAAAAAAAAAAAACAACGCGGTGGTATTTTCGTGAATAACTTGAACTTTAGTGCAAGTAAATGTGTTACAAGTGCAAGTAATTGGTGCACCTTTACAAGTAAAAAGTGCAAGTATAAAATCACTTACAAGTGCAAATAATTTACCTTGTTAACATTCGTGCACCTAGGTGCAACTAATTTTAACATTAGGTACGACACTTAATATTAATGGTCAATGTACAATTTACTTGCACTTAGGTGAACTATATGAAACTGCTAGTTGCATTTGTAATACATTTCACTTGCACTTCAATGTTCAATTATTTACGAAAATAACATCGTATTTTTTTTTAAATCAGTGTTTCTGATTCATTAAATTTATACACGTGAACGAATGTCATGCATTCTGATTTTTTTTTGGACGAATGGCTCTCACCTGAACACAATTATTGTGTGTGTGTGTGTCATATTCAATAGTCAATGTGAACCTACCATATATATATATATATATATATATATATATATATATATATATATATGTGGACCATATAGAAGAATATTATTTACCCTAACAATTTATAACTTCGATATTGGCAATTTGGCATATTGCATCAAAGTTTTAAAGACTTTATATAATTTAAAGTAAATTGAGAATTCACTCAAATTATTTATAATTTAATTTTTTATGATCTCTAATATTCAATAAATGAACTTTTTTTTAGCTATCTAGTATATTTTCATAATTATTTAATTTTAAAAAATTAATATATATAAAGACAAGTTTAAATGGAACAAGTCTGATCTTTATGTAAAAAATGCAGACTAATGCTTATGGGATCGTCAATATAGAATAATCAACAACTCTAAACTAAGGCGAAAAATGTGGCAACATTTTGATAAATATTATAAATTTGGGAGAAGTGTCAAATAGGCCCATGTACTATTGTCAAGTGCTCAATTCCCACCATGAACTAAATTAAAGGTTAATTAACCACACTTACCTACTAAATTTGTTCAATTAGTTTTTTTTGCAGGTAATTGACTTTTTTTGCAGGTTACCAATTCAATTATTAAAAAAATAATTTTAAAATAATTTAAAAATTATTATTAAAAAAAAAAAAGAATACAGCCGGTGGCTGTATTCTTTTTTATTTTATTTATTTATTTATTTATTTATTTATTTATTTTAATAATTAAATAGGTAACCTGTTATTAACCTGTAAAAAAGTCAATTGAACAAATTTAACTCGTAGATGGACCTATTTGACACTTAATTTAGTTCGTGGTGGAAATTGAGCACTTCGCAGTAGCAAATGGGCCTATTTGGTGCCTATAAATTTTGAACATACCACTACATAAAGTTTTGAAGTGCATCCGAGGATGTATAACAGTGCACTCAAGTTAGTTGTACTTGAACATATTATCATATGCATTCTAAAGCTTTGTGCAGCGCATGCACACTCCCAAAGTTTAAAATATTAACAAAATTGATATCATTATATTTTTTTCTTCTTCTTATGATATATATAGTCGTTGATCATCTTAGATTTACGAAAATATATAAAGTTTATTAATCACAGTGAACTTACATAATAAGTCACACCACACCATCATTGTACCTTGAAGCACTCATTGATAAATGTAAATATCTATTCTATTTAATGTTGTACGAGACATCTATAGTACGTGGTAATGTATTGTGACGAATATTTTGATGTATTTTTAACGTTGTTGCGTTGTACGAGGAAAATCAGAAGTCCTGCCGTTTGTCAATGTTTTCGATGAAAACATGTTTCAGATCCTGTTTGGTAGATGGTTATTAGTTTTAACTGATTGGGTTAATTAGAATGGTATAATTAATTGATAATATTATTACATTAGCTGATTATAAAAAGATGTTTGGTAAATTAGTTGTTAGCTAATAGTTGTTTAGTATAATTTCTTTTCTCAACAAGTTAATTGAAAAAATTACTTTGAGTAGCTTTTTGAATTTTAGCATTTTGAAATACAAAAAGTTAACTAACCAAGCACTTATATTGATATTTAAAACAAGTCGTACAATTAATAGTGATCAAATAAAATAAAATTAACATATAGGCTAACTCCTCACCAAAAAAAAAAAAAAAACATATAGGCTAACTATTTTACCAAACAGGACCCTTGTCTTTATCATTGTTAGCTCGTTCTTAACGGTTAATTAGTGCTCATTTAGATAACCGTTTGACAATTCCTTTCTATAAGTGTTTTACTATATGTACTCTCAAATTTTACTCCCACTTTTAATCCATAATATGGCAAATAATGATAGGATATTTTTTAGTTTTACTACATGTACTTTTCATTTTTACTCCCTCACTTTTACTTCCTAATGTGGCAATTGATGATTATCTTGATCCTTTGGGCCCCAATATAAATGTCAACATCAAAATTTTGTGAGAGTGAGTAAAATTTGAAAGTAGGAGTAATATTTTCCAATATTTTTATCATGTGGGTCTTATAAAAAATGTTTATATCAAGAATTGCGAAAAGAAATAAAATTAAGAATAAAAAGTGAGAATTCATGTAGTATTTTTCTTCCATAATTGGTTTATTTATGTGGGGGTGATAAATGAATGGGACAAAAGGATGTGGATAAAAGCTATAAAGTCTATTATTTTATGACATATTATATCGATATTCACATATTATTAAATGAGATTAATTTAATCAAGTTTTTGACTTATTTCTATTTGAGAGTTGGTACTTTTAATGTTTTTAAGCAATTTAGACCCCTCTTGTTCAAGTAATCGAGTCAAAACATTGATAATGCCTATTTGATTTTGTCATCAAGAAATTATTACAAATTAAATGACAAAAATAATGTTATTCACCTATTAAATAATATATAAAATTAATATAGAAATTAATTAATTAATTAGCATTGGCTAATTTTTTAAAAAAATATTTCTTATATCTTAATTTAATACGATCATAATTCATGTACTTAATTAAATGGACAAATTACAAAATATAACTTGAAGTTCTCTTCTTATTCTGTTTCACTTTTTTTTTTCTTTAATTTGAATATCTAGAAAAATTTACCGCCATTATTCGAAAACGTTCTCACTTTATGATCCTTGCTAAAAAATTATTATAAAAAGATAAATTAATTTATCTTAATATTGTCCATAATTGACTAGTTCAAACTATATATATATTAGCTAATGTTAAATAAATTTATATTAATAAATTTAACTCAACATTCATGGTTTAAAATGAACACATAACATTGCCCCCGAAAAAGCTGTGTGGTAACTAATGTTATGTCAAAGTTATAGTTAATAATGAATGTGTAACTTAAATTTTTATACTTATATAACAGTTTACGTCACATTTCGATAATAACAGGGCGTTTCGATAATAATTATCATGTATACCAAATATTGGAATTGAAATTTCCAGTAATTATATTCCCGTAAACTAAACACTGAAATTTAAATTCTCACTTTATTCCCAATAATTCATCTCCCATAGAATTATAACTACTTTCCCACGTAATTCTCTTTCTCCAACCAAACGCCTCATAAGATGTTAATTTTGCCTTTCGGAACCTCCTCCAGTCCTCCCAACATAATGGTTGAGTGGGTTGTCGGAAAATTATATTATTATTTTTTTTCTTAAATCACAGGTCGGCAATGATAGCTAAGTATACGGGAATATTAGGTAATTACACTAATAACTTTTTTTTTTTTAATACAAATTTTCTACTTAACTAACGAGTTTAGACGGTGACGTGTATTATTAGTGCCTCGTACGTCTGCCCTAGGTTATTTCCCAATAAACAAAGTTAGTACAAAAATCGAATCATGTCTCCCACTCGCACTCAACGCGCGTGCATCAAGTTGTCGGATGTGCTCTCCACGCGCGCTCAGGTGAGTGTATTGGTTGAAGCTCAGTGATGAGCTGTCATAAGTCAGCATCGGTTCTTTTATAGCCCATAGCCCCATACTACTAATTGCTGAAAGGTGCCTCGATTTTTGCGAATTTACATTGTCTCCATCCTATGTTCGGATAAGCAACCAAAATAGTAGTTTTATTCTACGGAGTATTTGTTAATAATAGCAAAAGAGGAAATATTTATTTTTTATTTATCCATGAAAAAAATATTTCTTACAAGTATATTGTTACTGATGCTGTTAATATCAAGTACTTTTGACCGTTAATACTAATATTAAAATTAGTTACAAGAGAAAAAAAAAACAGTTTTTATATTAGTATTAAATAAAATCCCTAAAAATTAAATTATTATTTTTATAAAAATGATGATAACATAATAAAGTTAAATTATTTGTGGTGGTTATTTTATATGTGATAGTGGATAACACTTAATTTGTATTTAAAAAAAAAAACAAGAAGTTTAGAATATTGTTATACATTATTAATAATTATATTAGTAGTTTCGATGATGATTAATTATTATGTATTAATCCAAATATAACGAAAAATAACATGAAAAATTTGATTCTAGATAGAATATCACATTTATAAAATGTCACGTTATCTAAAAGCATTTCTTAAACCAATCATCCTCAAAGTATGCTTCCTTTGAGACATACCCAAGAACATGAAGAAACGGTAGCCGTATCGGAGACAGTCCGCTCGGAAGTTAATGGTCATAGAAAAGACCTAGCCTCTGATACGAGATTGGAACTAGTGTTCTGATTCATTCAATCAACAGGAGTAAATATACATACTATAGAGTTATAGAACAACTAGAAGTATATAATGTAGTCCACACTAGGAACTAAAACAAAATTGTAGCATGGTAGATAGCTTTAGTAGGTAGTAAGTTTAGGAGTATGAATCTGAAAAAGAGTAAAAGCAATATTACAAGTGTCTACCTGCCTAACTGAAGATTCAGTTATTTGATCAACCACATATCACAAAACAAGAAGAAATTCAAATCAAAGGGTACAACTCCAAAGTGTGTCTGAATAGCTTCAACCGTTTCCCCAGTATATGGAAAGCATATAAAATTATATACATTTTTGAGTTTATTATGATCCTTGAGTAAAAAAGCATAAAATTACCACACAATAAGTGCCTAAAGACAAGTCTTGCCCATATGCAGGGTCAAGATCTGGTATCTGGGGCTCAAGGTTCTAATATTGAAACACAAGTTTAACACACGGTACGGTGGGGGGAGTGCCAGGAACAACCTTAACTGCACATTATCTATTCAAGGTCTGGAACCTGGAGCTCGAGAGAGGTTTTACAGTTGTAACACAAGTTTAACACACCAGGTGCACCGAGCACCCATCTTTTAACTGCATGCCAGACTGAGATCTGTAGTCGGGGTCCGGGGAGGGAGCTTAAAGTCCTGTCCTAATTTTGTTAACCAAAATACAAATCAACCATCTGTCTATATGCCCATGAAGTTCGGAACCTTTATCTATGCTAGAATAACTTGACCTCTGTGAAGATACGACAAATCAAAAATATCCAAGAATAAAGTAGCAAGTTTGAGTCATTCACTCAGGCAAAACCTGGGATGGCTACAGTTTAAAGCAAGAGGTATGCTTTGAGCAGCACTTAAAGGTAGTTGGAGACACTCACAAGTTACCATATTCTGGCTCTTTTCCTGTTCTCACCTTTGTATTCCTCTGACGCTTTCGCCCATCCATGTTAGCTGCTGCATAAGATCTCTCTCTTGATGAATTCTTTTTGCCAATTTTCAAGTCTTTTCCACTAATGGTAAAGATGTCCCAAGCTTCGGGGTCGGTGAATTCTGCTGGGTTTTGGTTAAGACTGCAGGTGTTACTCTCAACGGTGCTTTTCACGGGCCAAGCAGTAACAGGGATGCTGCCTCTCCCCAACTCAAAGTTTTTAGGCCGATGTTCAAGTATATGATCCTGCAACGGAAAAGAGGTAGGTCCTGGGAGGCATAGAAATCCTCCCTGCATGTCCCTAACAGAAAAAGAACCTTGAGTCATATGTGGAGTCCCACTTGAAGATGCAGAATTGTGCAATTTGCTTCCTCCAAGCAGTGAGGGTGCATACAATCTTCTTGACTTCTCTTGTTCTTGAGACTTGAATGATATTTGATCTGTAATGCAGGGCCCAATTTGTTAAAATTTCCATTTAGTCATGAAACAGTAAATGGAAATCTTTGTGATAGTTCAGGAGTTTCCATTAACAATGTAAAATCTGATAGAAAAGAATCATGTGTAATATCCATGACATTTTAATTCAAAATAAGATCCCACACTACCCAATCTTTATCAACCAGTAGCTTTCTCAGAATTTCACCACTAACTAGAAATTAGCAATTAAAAAAAACATGGGAAAAATAAAATAAGCTGTTCATTTCTTTTATTTTGCCAGTCCAATAAAAACATATGGAGTATTATTTTAGATTATGTACAATTATGGATTACATATCTCGCACATAACCCTTTCCATAGTGTGAAGTATCCCACCTCACCCCACCCACCCACATATTTCAGAACCTTATCACACTATTATAAAATGCTAACGTTGAAACAATAGCTGACACCCTAATATCTAGGTATCAGAAGTGAAATTAATCCTTGAATCTTCAATGAAGATTTAGAAGTTAAAACTTACTGTATAAAGAAGGCAGAGGTTGCCCCGAGCTTTCACCAGGATTAGATACACCAGATCTAAGGTCAGAGAACTGCTTGGAATGCTGATGTGGAAACAAAGATCTATCAAAGAAATTCTGAGTCACATCCCTGCTAAAATTAGGGTGATAGTCACATGGCATGAAAGGTTTCTCAACGATCTTGTTGGTATCCAGATTGAAACCCCTATTGGATGGCACCTTCTTATCCATGAGACTGAGCAATTGCATTGCTGGTATAGCCTCATTTGCATAAGACTCCAAAGACACCATATTTTTATGAGAGGCTTCGCCTTCCCGTGGTTTGGATAAAAATGGATGAGATTCACTTTGCTTTTTCAGCTCATTGGCCTTTATGTCACTGATGGTCTTCCCTTTATGATGTAATAAGGTTTGGACTTGGGCATCAATTTCCTTATTTTTTGACTGAGAAGTAGACTTTTGAATAGTTCCACGTCCAAAATGGGTGGTTGCTGGGGCTGCCCACAAGGGGTTTGCTTGCTCACTGAGCCGAAACCCATTTCTGACAGAGCCACAGGCAGATGATTGCCCTCCATTTGATAGTTTTTTCAGGTTTAGTGGAAATACACCAGACATTTGAAGTTGGTTTTCTTCCATCTGGTTCACTTCGAAATGACCTCTGTTCAACTTTGAGCTGGTGAATCTTCCTCCATTGCCTCCCACAACTTTACTGGCCACAGTTAAGTCTCTTCTGGCATGATCATGTTGAAAATAATTCAAGCCAGGTGATTGCCATGCCATTGATTTATTTCCATATCCATCAGAATACCCTTTAGCAGCATTGCTGTTTGCCTGAGCCAGTGATTTTGGTTTTTCACCAAGACCCCTTTCATACTGGTTTTGAGCCATTAGTTCCACTATTTCCATTGGTATGTCATCTGGTGGTCCTTGCTCAGATTCCTCGTCACGTCTTTGACTTTTTTTATGCTTATTTGCTTCTGCACTCCCGCGAAATTCTTTTGCTTCATTCTTCTGAATGGAAAAATCCTGGGAGGAATGTGTGGGAAAAGAACCAATGAATTCCTCAAATGCGATATATTCCTTTAACTCTTGAGAAATTACTTGGTTTAATGCAAATTAATACCACTTTAGCAAATAAAAACTTCAAAAAACTAAAAGCGGTTCAAGTTTCTTTTTCGAACAGGGAATTAATATTTCCAACACATAAAGGAGAAATGGAAGAGCATGGACCACAGGGAGAAGAAAATTTGGAAAAGATAAGGTCAAGCATTTATAGAAGAAAAGCTAGCACGCAAAAGCATTTTAGTAGAAATATTTCAATTATACTAGCAAGAAGAGTAAGTTGGTACCATTTTCTTATGCAGAGGAAGACTCCTTTCTTCAACGAGGGTTGAAAAATTTTGCTTCCCTTGGAATGTTATAGTAGTTTGAGCATTGAGGTCACACAATACTCCCTTTAAAGACTGGTCTGCTTTAACTGCATTTTGTTCTCTTATTAATCCCTTCCTCCTAGGATCACTAATTTTATCTCCCTTCTGCAGATTGACACTTTGGTTAAAATCAATCTCTATACCCCTGGCCTTAGGATCCCTAAAGCTGTTCAAGGACAAATCTAACCCAACTTTAGCAGATGCATCATGTGGCATTCTAAAGTTCCCCACTTCTGAATGAGTTGTCCATGATTCTACATTCTTCCTTTTGATTGAACTTTCTCCCAACAAGTGATTGCCAGGATACACAACAGAAGATGGATAATATCCAATTTCAGGAAATTTGTTATTATTTGAAGATGCACAAGAGCTCTTCCTGGTTTCCATCAACAACCGGCAATTTTTCAAATAATGCTGCACGTTCCCTTCACTTGATGCACAATGTGAGGATTGGATGATACCAGCATTTGTCGCAGTGCCATATTTCTTCAAATCACCAGATCCTGAGGGTGTCGTTGGCCAAGGGATTATCGAAGAACAGCCATCATCTACGTGAGCCTGTTTACTTTTCTTTTTCTTTGTTCCAGTTTCTCTATCAATTTTGCGTTTATTTTGTCGAATTTTGATCCTGGCATGTGAGCCTCCTTCAGCAGATCCATCCTGCTCTGATTGTGAATCAGGAATATCAATTGCTATGGGACTTTTCTCAGTAACTTCCTTAGATGCCCTGGCATTCTTCAGAGTGTTAATTCTAGAACCTGCCTCCGAAACTTTGCACTCAAGCTCTTGAGGTGTCTTCCTCTTCCTATGAGGACTCTTGATACCTTTCTCCAGATCAGCTGACCCTCCATCAGAATATGCAATAGGCATTTGGTCAAGAGAAGCCTGTGCAGAGTTGGTGCAAGAATTTTCCAGGTTGACTTGTCCACTTAACAAATCAGTCAGCAAACGAAATCGAGCCTTTCCAGTTTCACCATCACTTTCAGATGATCCCTCTCCGTCATCTCTCAGTTTGATTGAAGGCAGTCTTCTAGCTTCTTCCACACTATTATCAAGAGCTTCACTTGTGTTAGTATACAGTTTTGCTGTCTCATGAGTTGTTGAAGCAATCCTCTGACCATCACCATCAGAATGATTTTCTCTTTCTTGGACAATATATTCACTTCTATCATCTGCAGATTCATAGAACACATTGTGAGGAAGTGTGTGGTTACCTGGGTGCTCAGAATTTATTGAGAGCAAATAATTTTTGTCCAAAGAAATATTGCATTCCTGTCACTACTACATCTTGAAGTGATATATGATTAATGAAGATTCTTATAATAGCCACACATAATTTTTGGAACTTCTTGACTCAAGTCTTGATTAGATCTTATAATATTTTAAATAATCCAGAAATGCTATTCTCTTTGTTTCTTACCCATTCAGATTCAATTTTATCAACTGATGGAGAAAAGGCAGGAATTACGCATATATTTACAGAAAATAAGAAAAAATCCAAAAGCACAGAATCACACAACATACATGCCAAATAAGTGGAAGTATAAGATAGCTACCATGTGCATTTGTGCCTTCAATTCCAGACTTTGTTTCACTAGTATGTCTGGATAATGACAGAGATCTTTTGACACACAAAGCAGCAGATGCATCTTTGACAGCTGTATTTCTTTCATTTTTCCCTGAAGTTGGAGCATGCTCCATCTCCAATGGCAGCTTTTCTGTGTTACCCTTAGAAGGTGTTGGGATGCATGGATTACAAATAAATGGAGTACTTCTGCAACTGTTAGAAGCAATTCCATTATCCTTTCCTGCATTTTCACTGAGAAGATCCTGTACACAGTTTTCACAGCGCCACCACCTAAACTTGCGAACCACTAGAGGAGGAAGTTCCTCCTCTGGATCACTATTGTCGCTGGATTTTGTAAAGGGTGAGCAGATCTTCTTGTCCTTTTCTCTCATCCCAGCAACATATCCACTGCATCCACAGCAGAAATATCGAGTCAATAATCTCCAATATAGAAATCCTCTTTTAAATTTCGTATCTATTATACAGTACCAAGATAGAGTCAAGCAAGTGCAATAATTCCCACAAGCAATCATCAGACTACAATAAACTTGCCATTGTTTCCCATATGAATACTTAGAATTCATATTTCACATCTACCCTTGGAAGCTGAGTAGAAACTTTTCAATTACAATCCTCTTAGCAAAACAAAATAATTATTACAAATTCCTATTAACCAATAAGGGAAACTTCTGTCTACTCCAACAAAGAGATTAGAGTTTATGATTGGTTATATAGGCCATGTCTATTTGCCAAAAAGGTTTAGTAATTTTCATGGAGTCATGGAGCCACTATTTTCTTTAGTTCCATATGATTTGTCTTTGAACAAAAGCAATTTTCATAGGAACATCAAGTGCAAAGTTAGTGTATAGGATCATTCATGTGATTTTGAACTATATAAACTTTTTTTATATCACATATTCTTTCAGTCCTATTGATCTTTATTTGTCAACTAAAGCCACACTACAAACGAAAATGTGGATAAAATGGACCTAGAATCAACAACTTAGTGATGAGGTATACATCCACTTAATAGCTAGGCTTAGTTTAGTCTTGCTCAATCAGCTGATATTTCTATGATACTACAATATCTAGTATTGTTAAACTTAAAGAGGAAAAGAAAATTAGTATAAAGGAAAAAGTTTGAACAGTTAATTGACGCATTTGAACACTTTAAACCTGTTATGCCTTCATAGCACTGGATGATCAACTCAATCTTGTTAAGTGTTTTGAACACTCACTCTTCTGGTCAGACATTTTCAATAAAATCTAACAACTTAAATTAGCCGACATAATTAAGCTTAAAAAAGGTCCAACAAGTCTTTTAACGGCTTAAGAAAAACCATTTTAATTAGCCAAACATTCCCGCCATTTGAAAGAACACGTACTGATAAGCATGCAGTTCAAGTGGCCAACATGTATATCGTATGTATGAATGAAAGGCTTACCGGATTGAAAATGAGTGCTGATGACAGTTTCCCTCCTCAATCTTCTGCATGGCAATATGACCAAGGTCTATTGTAATCGAATCAATCTTTACAAGTGATCCTGAAGGTCTGGAAACCGTATTATCGTATTCACTTATCTGATGATTTCCATTTCCCATAGCCGTGTTACTCTTCTCCATGAGAGAATGAGAAGACTAACACTACAAACAGCAATAAATATCCAATTAAGATTCTTTTAAAAAAAAAAAAAAAAACACTACATAAAATATCATTTCAGTGCAAAATGGACATTGTTATTTCAAACCATTCTAAGAATATAATCCAAAGCAGTAGTAATTATGTAGACCAAATGCAGATGTAGAATGTTTAATCAACAATACATCCTACACATACGATCACAAACTCATGTAACAAAACAACATCATCGATCATCACTGTATATATCTTCGGTTTGTGGTTACAATAACGATCTCATTCTTTAACAATCCCAAGATTCCCGCAACAATAGGGATGAAACAAGGAATTAGCGAAAGGCTTCAATTCAAGGTAGCAAATGCTGGAAACCCTAGTTCTCAATTCGCAACAAGAAACCGAAACTGTTTGCATCAAACCATTCGATCATTTGCTACTTCACAAGCTGCAGTAGAATATCAGCTTCAAAGCTAAACAAGGTCAAAATATCCTAAAATGAACAGTGAACTTCAGTCCTAGATGGCAAATCGACTTTAGGGTTTCCCTTTTACTCATTTCTTAGCAGCCACACAAACAAAAAAGGATATAGATATGAACCACTTAGGCAATTAAGCTAAAGCTGGAGGATACCTCCAGCTAATTCCACACACATCCCCCCGACAAAATTAATCCAAATTCATGAACCAAAATTAGGGCTTTTTCGACAGCTGTCGATTTCCAGCATCCGATGATAAACCCGCATTAGAACAAAGAAAAGAATCGAGCTGAGGCGAAGAGAAGAAGAAGAGGACATGGATGGAAATAAAAACCCAGAAAGGACAGAAATCAGAAAAACCCAACAAACTCAACTTTATCCGACTCATATCAAAGGAAAGAATCAGCTCAAACTCGGCCCGAACCTCACCAAAAAATCACACGCGACCCAATCGGAAACCTCGGCCTTAAAACCCACCCAGCAAAAATATCTAGAAAATAAAACTAAAAATTCGAAATTTTCAGATCAGGAAACACCTGCTGTGTAGACCCAGATACCTCCCCTCCACGACCCACGCCGAAACCACCACCGTCCGATTCAGCTCAAACTCATCAACGCAGATGTGCTAACTCCCACCCCAGACATCCAGCTGCTCCTCATCAATTCGAGCGCGAACTTAGCTCAAACCCTAAGACCTTTTTTCCTTTTTTTTTTTTTAGGTTTGAAATTTGTAGAGAGAGAAAGAGAGAGAGAGAGAGAGAGTGAGGGCGTAGAGAGGAAATGGAGCTGTTG